CGGCACACAAGAAATCTAACAAGACTTGCCCCCATGACCATGGAAGACTTCATCAGTATACAATCCCAACAGATCTTACAACATAGAATTATATTACAGGACAATTAACCCGTGGATCAAGTCCTTATCCACTGGGAAGAAGCTCCAACCGAAAAATGCATATAGGAAGATTATAAGTATTTACAATACCAATTTTCACACCTCAACCTTGAGGGCAAGGTTACTATTCAATGAGAAGGTGTTGTCAAGAAACCTCTTAAGATTTATTACAGAAAGAAGGGTGAGAAGGAAAATATACACACCAAAGGGCAAAATGGGAAAAACACAGAATAGCTGAGATTAGGGTTGACCAACCCTAACAAGATTCCACAGCTGACGCCTCTGCCTTCTGAATCCATCACGTAGATGATGCGAATCATCATCATGTGATTCCATCTGCGTAACTCCAGCAAGCATGATTCTGCCTTGAAGAATGTTTTTATTATTTTATTTAGGCTTATAAAAAGGTTTCATTCCATCGATTGCAAGCATCACAAGAAATCAATAAAAATCCTCTTTTTTTCTCTCTTTATCATTCTTCATCTTCTTAATTCTCTTCTTCTTCTTCTCCATTATTTCTTTACAGACCAGAGTCATGTCCAAGGCTTTTGACATGATGTTGAATATGATATTTTATTATTTTAATTAATTAATTAATTAATTATTTAATTAGTTAGTATTATGTAATTATAATTTTATGAGAATAATAATTTCAAGTTTTCAGAATGAAAAGCTGCAATCCAAAAGGAAATCAAAGCACTTGAGAAGAATGGGATATGAGAGTTAACTGAACTGCCTTTAGGAAAAATCCCAGTAGGATGTAAATGGATCTTCACTACAAAGTATAATCCAGACGGAAGTGTGAATCGGCACAAAGCCCACCTTGTTGTTAAAGGTTTTACTCAGTCATATGGGATTGATTATCAAGAGATATTTGCCCCAGTTGCCAAATACAACACTATCCGGGTACTATTCTCATTAACCTCAAATCTTGATTGGCCTCTTTATCAACTTGATGTGAAGAATGTTTTTCTCAATGACGATCTAGAAGAAGAGATGTATATGGAAGTTCCATCAGTACTTGAAATGAATCCGCAAAGGTGTGTAAACTAAAAAAGACACTTTATGATCTCAAACAGTCCCGAGGGCAT